CGAGCCCGCTCCTTTCGACCGGGAAGGGAGACGACGCCGTTTACGACCGAGGGCCTCGCTGGGCAGTCTGTGTGGCCGGCTTGGAAGGGGCCGCAGCAGTTGGGACACTGGGGCCTGGCCATGCAAGGTCCCGTTTCGTGTGAGTCGGAAGGTCTTCCGCAGTTGCTGCAAGTCGGTCGTCGTCCGCAGAACCGGTTGGCGTGGTAGCCCTGGCAGCCGGGGTCATGTCGGATGAGCGTCCTTCGTTTTTTGATGGGCAGAGATCTGCCGCTTTGGTTGAAGAGCCTGAAGGGCGTGACCTCTGATGTGAATGATATGAGCCAAGATATTTCGTTCGTGACTGGGTTGGGCCCAAGGCGGGACGGTCGAGCAAGGACAGGCTTCTGTCCTGTCTGTGCGAAGACCTCATCTTCAACGAGTGTGGCTGGGTCCAGGACGTCCCCGCCAATGCTGTGTAGTTTTGTTGGGCATCGCGGCACAACGTATGTGTGCCACTTGATAGGCGTCTCGACTTGGTGGGCGCCGAGGCATTCCGCCAGCTTTGCCTTACTTGTAAGTAGTCTTTCCTGTATTTGCTTGTTTCGCGGCTTCAGAGAGTAACCTGTGCTGATATGGTAGACGTGGGGAAGGTCCGCTAGCCCCAGGCCAACGGCCTTACAGACGATCTGTCGTACGGCGAACGGTGCGATCTTCCGAGCGGCCGCTAAGCTTTCTTCCGGGACGCGGGCAAAGATGCGGAGGTCCTCCTTCGGCTGCGCCTGCGGCTGATCCTCGGCGGGGAGTGTGGCCTTCGGGCGGGCAGAGCTCTGGCAGCTCTGGCCGCTCCGGGTCGCCGCAGTGGTGTTGCCCGCCATCGGTGCGACGACAGCCGCCCAACTCCGGGCCGCTATTGGGCTTGTCTCGTGATTGATCAGTCTCTTGAGGGTTTGAATGACATAGGCAGTGGCTTCTTTCGCGATCTGCTTTCTAGAACCGTCAAAGCTGGCGACAACGCTGTCGACGGACCGTGCAATGGTCAGAAAGACGTCTTTCCGTGCCTCGTACTGTCTAGCTTCTTCTGCAAGGGCTGTCAAGACGGACCCTGTGGCAGATCCGCTCGGAGCAGATGCGGTAGAGGCTGCGGGCCCCTCGGCCGAGGTAGGGGCGTCGGTGGTGGCATCAAGCTGGCTTCCCGTTAGGCTGGGCCGGGTCGGCTGTGCCTCGGCGTCGCGGCGTCGCTTAGCTCTTGAGGTGGGGTTCGGCTCCGGAGGTGTCCCGGAGCCTGGTTCGGGGTCGGCTTGGTCGGCCGACATCAGTCCGGTGCCCGACGGCGGCTGTGAGGCCATCGCGGATGCGGGCTCCGGCAAGGGGAGGTGAAGAGTTTTCGGCTGTTAGTAATTTGGTGGTAGGCTCACTCATTCACTAACAGCAGATGCCAAGAAAAATTAGGCGAGAGGGAAGTTCCGAGCCTACCATGATGTCTACCGTCTTTGGGCTGTTTTTAGTCTTCTGGGGTCTATTTGTTCCCTACGCCTTTGTTATCTTACAAGCCAAGGCACAGGGTATGGACGACGGCCTAGTCATTTACTTACTTCCCATCATGCATGCCGTAGGGTGCGTCCCAGATTCTCCCTTCACTGCCTCAAAGAACACCTACTGACTGTTCCAACCAGCTTAATCGGGCGCGTCATCCCAGGCCTCGTAGCCGACAAGATAGGCCGCTACAACATCATGATCATCCTCGCCACCCTCACCGGCATCGCGTGCCTGGCCCTTTGGATCCCAATCAAGAGCAATGCCGGTATCCTCGTCTTCACAGCGGCCTTTGGTTTCCTCTCGTCGGGGCTGACCTCCATCGGTCCGACGCTGATTGCGCAGATTTCAGACATTCGAGAGATTGGCGCAAGAACCGGGACGGCTTTTGCGTTCCAGTCTTTTGGCGCGCTTACGGGGAGTCCTATTGCGAGTGCGATTGTTGATGCACGGGGAGGGGATTATTTGGGTTTGCAGTTGTTCTGTGGGTTTTCAATTCTTGCGTCGGCGGGTGTGTTTGCTTCGGCGCGATATGTTCAGACTGGTGGGTTTGAACTGAAGAAGGTTTGATTGGAGTGATCACGTAGTCATTGTTTTGTATAGGGCAATTTTAGGTGGACGCCTGAGGTCATTGAGTCATAGACCATGGGAGAGGCAGATGTATTGATAGACCAGGAGCTTTTGCTACCTACTTATTACACCCAAAGACTCTAATTAGACCAGTCCAACGCCTGATAACCGTTATTGCCAACCCTTCCATTGTCCGATGGTGCCAACATGTACAACAGTGACCCTTCTGTCTTGCTCCAACGAGATGCCGGCATCAAGACGTCTTGGTGTACAATTCAGAAGTCTGGGATGTTGTGCTTGTCCTTGTAGTCCTCAAAGTCATCGGCAGTCCACTCCACATCCTCACCGCCTCGAAGAGCCTCAAGTTCGTTGATGTCGTCGATGATGTGGGCGAACAGCATCTCCTGGCCGGAGATGCTGCCGTGATGCTCGGCGGCCTCCATATCAGCCATAGCATGAGTTAAGGCGACAGTGATGGTATCGGTCAAAGAGGCGACCACGGCGGTGGCCGTAGCCTCCACGTTCTTGTTCTTTACCTTCTGGTTCTCCTTTTTCATCTTGTCATGCTCGTCCTTCATTTTCTCGCACTGCTTCTTGGTCGTCTCATACTTGACTCTGAGGGCCGTGATCTCGGTCTGGGCCATCTGAGCAGCTTTGTTGGCCTGGTCTTTCTTCTGAGTGATGGTCTCAATGACCTTGTTCTTGACGTTGAAAGCATCGATAGCGTCCTGGATTGTCTTGGTCACCGCAGCTTGGAGCTGGTCCGCGGAGGTCTGGAGATCGTTGCTGGTCTGATCATTCTGCTGATCGCTGATCTGGAGTGCACCGAAAGCATCCCGAATCATCTCGTCTGCAGTAGACTGTAGTTGTTCTGCCGAGATCTGGAAGGCAGACGGGATGGTAGGTGCGGCCTGGGCAGGGGCAACCTGAGCAGCAGGGACGGCGGGCACGACAGAGGCATCAGTGTTAGGGATGGCTGCATTAGCGGTATGCGAAGGAGCAATGGAGCCAGCGGGACCCGCCTGGCCAACTCGGTCGACATTGAAGCGATCGACAAGGTCGAGGAAGGTCTTGTAATGCTCGCGGTTGGGAGGAGCGGGGGTGATGGTGAGTTCGTCGATGAAGCGCTTGCGAGCATCTCCGATGGCGATCATTACAGCCTGGACGTGGTGGTTCTTGATGTCCGGAAACTCGGTCCACTTCTTCTCCTTGACCAGGCTTCGCAGCGCGGGAACCCAGGCCAGGTGGTGATTCTGGTCGACCAGGGCGTTCTTGCCGTTGCTGGCAGCAGCGACGACCTTGAGATATGCGGCGAGGAGATCAGCGCCACGGCGCGCAATGAGCTTAGCCATGTCGCGGGTGGGAGTATCATTCGCGTAACCCTGAGTGAGGAGCTTGAGCTGAGGAGTGCCCGGCTGCGCGATGATGCGACCGTTGTCGCCGACTTCGAAGATGAGGCCAGGAATTCGGGTGAGGGCATTCTGGTCGGCGCAGATGGGAGCTACCTCGCTATATCCCATGCCTCCAGAGCCGGAGATAATCAGGCTGCTTCTGAACGACATGATCTACATGGGATTAGTACTCCAAGACCGGACGGATGAATGTGGGAGAGGGATCAAATTACTCTCGACTTGAGTCGGGACGGTTGATGCAGACTGATTGGCATTCGTTTGACTAACGTTTCGAAGGAGGCCGTGTGAATAAGATGAGAGAAGGACAGCAGATAGCGAAAGGCCGCGATGAGTTTGCGATGTTGAGATGATGCAAAGTCGCGATGTTGAGGAAGACGGGTGGAGGGGATGGTGTTGTGGAAAACAAGAAATGAGGTTAGGGCAAGTTGAAAGTTGTGGGAAAACTTGAAAAGGCCGGGAAGCAGGACTGTAGGTTGGGAGAAAAGATCCTGAGCGGGAGGTGGGTTGACCGCCCATACTATTGAGAAGTGAATATAATTCGGCTCATCTAGATGTGTTGGGCGTCTTCGTTTATTTTTCACCTGTTAGACCGCGTCGATGAGTGGGTTCAGGAAGGAGCCTTTCCATCCACACCAGGTGATACCTGCCCAATAAGTTCCCAAAGTCAAGAGATCCTTATTATGGCCAGAGTCGAGCCAAGACTTTTGCAAGTACAGGTTTGCCAGTTTCTTTGTCGATTCATACAAACATATGTCGAAGTGTTCAAGTTGAACGTTAATCACTCTACACTCCCTCCATCAGCCTTCAATCCGTCCAACTGGCGACTTCCTGTACCCCAAATGATCAATGCCATCACGATGTCGCCAGAAATCTCTGCAGACCTCTTCTGAGCTTGCCCAGTTATGTCTGTTGGTGATTGGCTAATGGCTAAGTACTGCTGGAACACGGGTTACATAGATCCCAGAATCCCCAGGGAGCTTCGGCGTATGGACTTACGGACGGGAGGATGGGACACTCCTGACGCTGTGACTTTGTCACTCGCATAAGTATGCAATTTTGCGCCTTGGCTTCATTATACACGTCCATCATGTCATTTGCAAATCCCCTTCCAAGAGCTTTGCCGGGCAGAACATGTATTTAACCTTTGTGGCCAGCACGGCGAGGAAGAATGGCCACTGCAAGATTATACAGTGGAGAAATTGATTTTTCCCATCACTTGCAAACGCTACTCGGAAAGGCAGGTCAGGTTAGTTGGCGTATCGTACCTTACCTTAGGTAATATAGGTTGAACCAACAGTCGAGGCAAGAGGCAATCCATGGCCACGTGACAGAGTAGAATATTCACTTGGCAGTCGCATCGTAACTGCGTAGTATTCATGTGGGGTGGGGAGGGGGTTATATAGAGACAAAAATTGCTCAAAAAGTCAACCCAATAGAGAGGAGAATGTTTTCACCCTGGAAATGACTTACCGCCGGAAGGTGGTTGAACGGTTGATGTCCCGTGGAGACTGGCATTCGATTGCCCAGTTTGCATGGCCATCTGGAAATCTCGTGGGTTCGAATCACCCTCAGCGCTCTGCGCTCATTCCTTTCTTTTTCCCTCTATCTTTCTGGGCCTGATTCTTTATCTTGACTGTTTGCACCTTTGCTTTGCCAATGTTCTTGATGATAGATGAGTACGGATCTTCATTCTTTTTCTAGTCTTCTTTGTTGCCCACGAACACCATTTCTGATGCCCCCCTATCACGTCAAACCAAATCCTCCACGCAGTCGACAAACATATGAGGTTTACCAAAGTCCCATCGCCTACAGATGCGCCCCGAAGAAACGGTCCGGGGCGTGGGGCTAACTTTACCCAAAAAGCCAATACCCCCGGCCCGTCATTTCCTTGGCTCCTTCGTGCCGAAGATCCACCTGCCGATGAACTCTCCTCCGTCTTGGCAAAGGCAAATGGAACATGCGCATGGTGTCTTACCGAGCGCTTCTTCAAAGTGAGGACCCGACATTATGGGCCGCGTATCTCGCCATTGGAATTCGAACAAGATTTTTCCGCAAGGTCAAAGGACACGCCCGGTCTCGCTCCACTATCAACCTTCTCGGACTGAGGCCCTGGGCCTTGTGGATCGCCATCTCCACGGATCCATCCCGCCAATGTAACCACATCTCCGCCCCTTGAAGAATTCCTCGAACCAGCAATCTCGACAAATGGAGCCCTCGAAGAATCTTGACCTTTGGGCGGCCGCCATCAGCAACCCTAGTCGACGCGCCTCGTCATCACCAGATATTTAACAACCATATTCCCGAACTCCCTCTACCGCAGCGTCGCACTTGATCCGTCCTCTTAGTCGTCTTCCTCATCCTACGTCCGTCCCTCCTCCGTAAAGATGGTTTGCCTCTCAATCGCTTCAATCCTCTTCTTCGGCGTCGTGGCCACACAGGCCCTAGTCTCAGGAAATTGCACCGGTGTCAACGCAATCAGCACAAAATGTGCCTCCAAAGAAGCCGCCCACACCCGCGATTTCTTCTACGTCGGAGGCCGCTACATCGAAACAACCTCAGGAAACGTCACAGTCGACCAGCTCTACGTCGAAAAGCTAGTCCCCGTCACAACCAGCCGCACCCGCCGCCGTAGCAACGTCACAACACCAAAACCAATCGTCTTCTTCCACGGAGGCGGAACCACAGGCGTAACCTGGCTCAATACACCCGACAACCGCCCAGGCTGGGCAACGTTTTTCCTGCAACAGGGCCACACGGTGTACCTTGCCGATACCGCCGCCATCGGCCGTTCAACAGAAAACAACCTCGCCAATTTCACCATGATCGCCGGCGCGGCGGCCGAGGGCGTGGAGCGGGGCTTCACGCACGTCGAGGCATACGACGCCTATCCGCAAGCCATCCTGCACACCCAGTGGCCCGGTACGGGACAGAAGGGTGACCCGACATTCGAGCAGTTCAAAACGACCATCCTCCCACTGTCCACGAGCTGGGTGCCGCAGGAATACGCTCTCCGCGCGTCGGGCTGCGAGCTTCTTTCGCTGCTGGGCGAGAAAGCATATCTCATCTCGCACTCCATCGGTGCCCGCGCCCCGATTCTTCTATCGAACGATTGTCCAGAGTACATTGCGGGAAACATCAACCTCGAAGGCACGACGGTCCCGTTCTGGTCCTTTGAGAGCCGCTCCGCGACGAACGCGTGGGGATTGACGAATACGCCTCTCGATTACAATCCAGCCATCGCCAGCGCGGCGGAGCTCGAGACCGAGGTTGTCGGGAACGATACGGCTGCGCACCGGAGTTGTTACCGCCAGAAGGAGCCGGCGCGGCAGCTGCCCAAGATTGCCAGCGTGCCGTATTTGATGGTTACGACGGAGGCGAGTGTGCATGTTACCTATGATCACTGCACGGTGGACTATCTGAAGCAGGTTGGTGGGCAGCCGGAGTGGATTAAGCTGGGGGACATTGGGATTCATGGGAATGGGCATTTTATGCATTTAGAGAAGAATAGTTTGGAGATTGCTGAGGTGGTGAATAAGTGGATTCAGGAGAAGGAAGGGGCTTGATGACATGGGGATGAGCGTATGTCATCCTTGACGAAACAAGAGATTTGTTTGAGTCGATGGACGTAGTCGAAATGGAGAGAACATGGCCTGCTTCGGGCCAGGATGCGGCATCGATCTGTGATTACCCATGAGATGCCGGCGAGAGACATCAAGTAACTTCCAGGCTATTGGTACGGATATCTGGTTTCTCATGGATAGTGGAGACCCAAGATCACCGCTGATAGAGGACAGTCTTCAAAGTACTGTACGACCATGATAGTCTACTAGTTCCATCGCATGTCGCGGCCATGATGTCGAGAACACGACAATGTCCAGATATGGACGGAAATCCGGAAACTCTCGCGTTCATGTCCAGTGAGTTGGCTCTCAAGGGTAGTTACGCGGCAACGTAACGTAGGTGATTTAGTTCGCCTGCAGTAAGGGGTACGAAAAGGTTTAAGTTGTGGGAGACGTTGGTTGTGAGATGAAGCTGATTTTCAATCTGACCATCATTGCTTTGATCCTATCTAACCTAAATACACCTCATACATGGCACACCTGCCAAGCTTTGAATACATCAATTGAAATGAAGCCATCATTATACGAAACAAAGGGAATAGAAGTCGATTTTAACCGCCCAAGGATATCACGCTAGATCCTGAAAGAGTATATATCATGAAAACACTTCCGTCATAGTACAGCCTATTCAACGACAACTCTCAGATTTGGGGCACCACCGTCTGCGACCACACTGGCAGGAATATGAAAATCAGCGTGCTCAAAGACGCGAAGATCGCGCCGCCAACCATGGCCTGGAGGACAATCTTGTGCTGCAGCCTGCGCAGATGGACGTCCTTAACACGAATCTTGCGATCAAAGATCATCATTCGCGACACAAACTTCATGAGACCAGAACGTTGAGATAAAAGAGAGGCGCTGTCGTCGAAGCGTTCCCAGGGCAGGGGCTGACGTCTCGTGAAGAGCAACAGGAAAAAACAGCTACCTCTCAGACCGGAGAAAATGAGGGACATGCCGACGAACCACATTGGCCAGGGTGCAAAAGCGTTCCATCGGCTGTTGGCGCCCATGAAGGGGACAAAGGCCTTGAGGAGCACGCAAAGGAAACCGCCAATGGTGAGGGCGATGCCGACACTGGTGGCCATGCAGAGAGTCTCGAAGGTTCCGTTGGAGACACCAAGGCGGACAAAGTTGCGGTGTGAGCAGTTCTTCAGGAGTCCGTACACGTGATCTGCGATTGGCTTGAGGTGAATCGGGTCGGAGGAGTGCTGGAGGTTGAGAAGAGCGGTATCGCGAAGCGCAGGGGGGATGTTAAGCTCCTTCTCGGCTCCAGGGACGAGGAATGTGTTCACAACGGCGTTGAGCTCGATGCGGTATGCCGAGTTCGGTGCAATACGGGTCGGGATAACGGCTGGGACGTTGTTGGCGCAGATTGGTTTGGCGCAGGCGTTGGCCCAGGACTTGATGCGGTCGCGACCGCTCGGGCCTACTCTGCTGTTGGGCCTGCATGCGGCTTCCGGAGCAATGAGGTGGACAATGTTGGTCATGGTCTCGTTGGCTTTGGGCACGTTAGCTACAGCTAGTGAAGAAATGGGCAAATAACACTCACCTGCTTCAGGATCACACTCAAACTCAGACATCTGGATAGAGGGAAGCTTCGTGCCCGCTGCATCGACAGCGCTGTCTGCCATACTGTCTCGTGACGAAGACGACTGGTCGATATCCTTCTCTATAGGGAAGTTGTTGAGGCTTCCAGTCTTGGCGTAC